GTTATAGAAACTGAAATGCAAGCTATGCGATTCAAATAAACTGTTTAATTTTGAAATTATTAATGTTCTTGATGAGTTCTTGGACGTATGAATATCAATTGGCCAAAATAACGTGAGCAGGATTTGTGTTGTTGTAGTAAAACTAACTCTATAATGAGTCGGATACAGAAACATTCAATTTTGCAAGAAGTGGAAGTAGGAAATTGATCCATTAAACATCATAAAAGTAAAAAATGTGTGGCAGTTGGCTTTCGTTGCGGCCACGGATGGAACAGTTCAGTCTTAAGCGAGCAATAACGAAATTTTTGGTTTTGAAATGAGTGAATCAATGACATATCATTATATAAAGATCGATATAATGAAATTTGAACTTCTGCACGTACAGCGCGAAACGTTGTCCTACAAATCCCGGGGCTTAAAAAGAGAAACAACAGAATGCGACTAAATCGCTTACAAGATGTAACTCTTTTCACTTAAAATACAGTGATCACGCATTACTTCTGGTCCATCACATTATCGTCTGTTTGCGTCTTACATGGAACATGATTAAATACACTGTTAACGGATTGCGATATATGGCTTTGAAATGTTTGAAGAAGTTTGAAAAATTATGTTCTAAAGATATTTTCGTCACAAGATTGTTCGGTTAACAATGGGAGGACTAACTTGTTCGCACGTATTACATTTATGTTACCATTCTTTTTTATTTGTCACTTCGACTTCGAATAAATTAAACAATATTTCCAGATAATTGTTTTTACGGAAAACAGTGTTTCGTTAAAGAAATACTTAGAAAACCAGAGTACAAAGATTTGACTTGACGTCAAGAGGAGTATGCGTTTATCTGGCATTTCAGAATCTTACATACAAAAGTACAAAGTGCATACATTTCTTTTACTAAATTATAACGTATAATAGGAAATATGTATGTACAGAATACGCGCACTCGTAAATTATGAACAGTGATATTAATCGAACTGAAAGGCGAGCTAAGGTCTCACGTTTAAAACAAGTTACAATTGAGGTCGCAGACGCTTTGATCACGGATCTAGAAGTATCGCGTCATTATGGAACGGCTCAAGCCGACTCAACAATCTCTATACGTAATTCTAAAATATAAACTATATATCGATGTATATAACTACAATACAAGATAATGCATCGTGTCTATACGACGACAGAGCGTGGCACTATTAGAATTCTTGATATTGAATGTTTTATCGGTTCGCTTATTTTTAAATTAGGGCTGGCCAATATTCATTTTTTTCATGGAATATCAAACAGCCGTGTAATTCCACTGAAAAACGTTCGAACATCTATATGAACAAAATAAATTATCTTCCATCGTAATACGTGCTGCGGATACCAAAATAAATCATGTAGAAAGTGAATGTGTAGCGAATGCTATTGATGTTTCCATCATTTCTCGACACGTCTTCGTGATTTTGGTATTTTTTGTAAATGCATTTTGCATCACTAGTTCCTATTGTTTCGCTTACAAAAATTGGCTTTTTTGGAAACGACTTTCGTACAATGACAATAAAATTGTGAATGATGGTATCATTATTACGACGGTCATAAGAACTATTTTGCGCAGAAATATCTAGAATTATTATTCGAATTATTTGGTATGCGGGACACCTTAATTTAAGTAACATAAATTCCACTGAGTGATTGTTACGTTTTACATTATTTAATTGATTATCGAGATACAATGTTGACTGATCTAACTGTTTTATTAAGGAACTAGTACACGAACAGTAAGTCTCTTTATAAAAATCGATTGAATAATGATGGATAGTACGATTATTAGATGGGATGCAGCATGTAATGAGCCCCAGGACGTACAACATCCCTCACGTAAGTAAGGTATCATCTAATTCTTCCATTTTACATTCGGGCTGAGAAAGAACTTTGCGTAATACTTTGCTGACTACATCCGATAGGGATTCCCTTGCTCCGGCGTCCAAAAATGTCATGCAACGCTGCAAAATATAATCTCGCAAGTTACGAAAACCGATTCAATCTGTTCAAGATTTCATATCTTCTAAATTAACTTTGTGATAGTATAATTTATAAAAATTCAACTTACCAAATGTTCTTCTTCACCTTGTCTCAGTCTAAGTACTGCGATGAGAGCAAGTTCACTGTTAGCTTTCACATAACCATTTTTCTCTTTTGTTCCATTTACAAGCATAGGAAGAAGCGATTTAAGTAATTCAGGTGACATTTTTTCAGGTGGTATGTTACGAGCCAGATGTATACAAACTCTAGCCAATAATTGTTTTACATCATTGCTATTATTATTCATGGACTAAAATCAATTCCACAAAAATCAATTATTCATTAAGTAAGATAAAGGATTTCACAAATTTAATCAGATTTGAGACACTTATCGTCCAGTATCACACCATTCTCACTATTCAAATATTATCAATTATCATTATCACTGTTCCATTTTATTTCTTACAAAACTAGCTTGAATATTTTTGAAAAATTGTAATATTTGTTTAAATGACCATAGTTTACAACTAAAAATCTCAAGAGTGAGAATAGCATGTATGCAACGTTTGAAAATTTATTGGTTGTTCTTACCCTCACAAAAGGAGACAAGATTTGTTGAGGTATAGGTTGTCCTTCATTCATAAGATATTGAAACAAATAACCGCAAGCTCGTACTCCATTCATAACTATTTGTACTCGATCCGCTGCTAAATACGAAAGTATAACTGCATATACACGATCCGTTTCTTTACTATTATATAATGTTGTTGGTGATTCTTTTAGCGCGACGAATAATGCTGCAGAACGTCCATGCCTAAGCGTCCACTCGACACTAGCATCATTACCTATAATATAGATATTATTAAAAAAATTAGTGGAAATTAAATTTTACTTGTTAAGGTACACTGATCAAACGAAATGAAAAAATGTTTAAAAATGTTAATTATTCGTGACTGACTGTTTACAAAATTTAAAATATAAAAATTTCATGGAATAATTTTAATTTTTCATTATTATAAATGAATACATGTAAAAAATACTTACATAACAAGTGATCATTTAATGCAACTGCAAGCTGTTCTGGGCTGAGCCACCGTAACAACGCTCCAAAACAACCCGCTACTGAGTTCCTTGTAACATCTTCGGAGTGACCAAGCATGCTTGTTAAAGTAGCAAATACTTGTTTCTTCATCGGTTCTGTCATTTTGTCACCAGCCGGTGTCAGAACACCTCGCAGAGCTTGTAACATCGTCTCCCTGAATAAAAATATTTTATTGCATATAAAATATTAAGTTATAAAATTAAATTCACTCACCTAATCGCTGGATCGTCGCCGGTTTTGATGCCAGTATGAAGTTCTGTAAACAATGGATCAACACGAGTATGGATCACAATGAGATTGCTTAAAGCGTAAGCGGCTTTTAATCTCACTTGCCGATTACTATCATTTAATGCTCTCAAGAAAGTGGTTTGCAATTGCGGCAAGAACTGTTTCAACATCACTCCAACCTAATGAAAGCGTACAATTATCAATTTTATATATTTTTTTATATTATTTGATAAACTCACCTTGCCAAGTAATATTGCAAGCGTTTCTAAAACAGCTGCTTTGACGCTCCAATTAAAACGATCTCCAAGAATTCGAATCAATGGTCCTGTGATGTGCACAACGCTTGGTTGTAATGCTGATGCGCTGGTTAATTTTATAACTTCTCCTAATCCTTGAGCTGCTTGTTCTTTTGTTTCTGGCAAACCATTTAATATAGCTTCCCTGAATATTGGAAGAATCGGTGTAATTCCTTTTGGTAAACAAAATCCAGGCAATAATTCTTGGCCCTTTAAATCTGATACTGCAAATCGAACAGCCTGCCTGATATCTTGTACATGAGCAATCTGTTGTTCTGACGTTAAAGTCTGCAAATGAATATGAGCATTAGAAGTTATTATACAGGCATTACCTGTACATAAAATAAAAATACTCACTTTAGTAACAGCTGTAAGTGCTTCCCAACTCATTTGCAGTACATCTTTGTCATCATCTGTAAATAAGTGAATAAGTCCTCGTAGTAACTGAGGAACATATTGACTATAATCTGCTCGAGTATCTCTGCAGAAAGCGCACAATAAAGTGGCTGCACTTCGTCGTCTAGATGGATCTTCTGCTCTAGTAGCTTCCATAAGCTGATCCATAACAGTTCGAACACCAACCTCGTCCGTAACAGATAAAATAACTGTTTGACAGTATTCCAATTCCTGAACTTCATTAGGTGTTCCTTGAGCACTAGATAAAGCGGTTAACAAAGCTGGCAGGATTTTATGAAGAAACCTTGTCAGTGCTTCACCCGCAACACTTGCCAGAATTGATAATGCTTTTGTATTAACGGGAGGAGTAGTTAACTGAGGTACTAGATATGGCAAAACAACTCGAGACTTGATCGCCATTACTTGGCGCAAACCGTCTAACGTGTTCTCTGCTTCTGCTGGATCCGGTGAATTCAATTGTGTTAACATGGCTGGTAATATATCATCTAATGCTCTAACACCTACTGTCGAATGCAAACCATCAAAAGTTTTTGCTGCTGCTTGCCGGACTTCAGGTAACGGATCACATAATGCTTTCCTGAAATAAATTATATTTCATCATTTTCTTATCAATTACTTAAATTATTTATTTAATAGTTATTTTATACAAAAATATAATCACCTCACTGTTGGCACTAAACTGATCACGAAAGTTAATACCATATCTTTATTTTTGCTTGCCATAATTTCTGATAAGCCAATACATACACCTTGACGTTGATCAGCTTGATCACTTTGAAGACCCTTTTCTAAAATAGGTATAATTTCTGGTAATACTCTTTCACCTAATTTTCTAACAAGATCTCCTAATGTTCGTGCTGCCACTTGTCTCTTATCATAACTTGTACTAGCCAAACAACCGAGCAGAAGTGTAAACAACGTTGGTAATATTTCTCTTAATGTTCTTGGAGTATTTGTTACTACAACCTTCCATACGTGAAGAGCAGCTTGACGTACCATTAATGCAACATCTGATCTACCCATGTATAATCCAGCCAACACCCGATTTCGTCTTTCTGCACCGAGAGCATTAATAATGGCATAATGTGACTGTTCAGTTCCAAAATTATCATCCTCACTAGCCGTTTCTGTTGACATTTTTCCCGAGACACCAGAAATTCGATATAATAAATCTCCAAGTAACTGCACCGAGGAATACCTTATACGCCAATTATCATCAAAAAGTCCTTTCTCCAATTCTGGTAACAATAACATAATTGCAGAATCTGCGTAGAGAGTAACGATACGTTGACCAGCTCTAAGAGCAGTCTCACGTACGTATTCATTTTCATCAGCCAAAGCCTTTAAAATAGGATTAATGATTTGTCCGATGTAAGGTGTAAATTCTGTTGTAAATGCGCTTGGCATATAAATAAACATCATGATATAACCATCCTTGACATGAGGAGCTATGTCTGTTCTTTCGGCAGTACTAATAATCTCGGGCATCAGTTTGTGAAGTTTTTCAACGCCAAGTCCTCGCACAACTTCTGAAAGACCCTGCGCAGCACCTGACCGGTCTACACTACTTGTTTCAGACGTAAGTGTTTGCATTAACCATGGAAGCAAATCTTCAAAACTAGATTCACCCATTCCTCGTACCATAGCACCTAATGCCCTTGCAGACACACTTCGTACTTCTGGTACAGGATCCAATAAACTTGTTTTCAGCCCAGGGATAATTGTTGGCAGATATGGAGTTAAATCTTTCTGATCTGTCAATGAATACATATTTCCAATAATTTGAGCAGCCATTTTTCTTGTTTCCGTAGAACGATCTAAAAATGCTCTTTGTACCACAGGCATAATAAGAGCCAATGACGGGGCATCGATAAAATGCACAAATTGTGTGTCCAATAGAGTCTGTAGACAAGTAGCTGTTTTATGGGAAGGATCTTGTAAAGCTTTCAATAAGACTGGTACAATAGCTTGAATCTCCGGATTACGAATTACACTTCCAATAACTTTAAGTGCTTCTGCACCAGCTTCCTGAACTTTAGTATGCGAATCACTGAGGACCTCGATAAGTTTTGGAACTATACTTGGTAAACAACTACTTAATTGCTTTGGAGCACAATATGCCATTGCACCCAGCAGTTCAACTGACCCTTAAAGAATAAGAAAATGTATGACTTTCAGACTAGACTGACCGGTACATTAAAAGATGCAAACCAATACAAATCACTTACCAGTTTTGGTTCTCCATGAGTCTTCTTCCAATGCTGCTAGTAAACTGGGTAGAACAAGTTTTACACCGTGCGCAGAAAGTTTACTCATTACCACTCGAGCTGTGTCATCTGTAGCTGCTCTGACATACTGACTCGAATCACCAAAACACAACAGCAAATGCGGTAGTACATGAACGATATAAGGTTCAAACAATCTGCCAAGCATTGTACATAACATTTCAAATGCGAACAATGCTCCTTCTCGATGCCTGTAGTTTTTTTTATCCTGAATGGCATTAGTTAATGTGGTCATAATATCAAGCTGTTTCAGCGCGAGTATTCCCATACCCTTGATTATACCTGCTAAGCCATAAGCCGCGCCTTTACGTTCACCATATTTGTCTGACTTCAATAATTGATCCATCAAATTGTCCACAATTTTTGGAGCGTCTTCCTTAATGGAAGGTACAAGATGCGGTAAACAATTAGCCACTGCTTCTTGGACTTGTTGAGATGGAGTAGAAAGAGCTGCGATTAATCGCATGACAATAGGTTTAATACGTGGATCATCTTTGTCTAAATGTCTCGCTAACGATCCCATAAGGATAACAACTGACTGTTTAATCGAATCAAAACTACCGATCTTTGGAGCTTTGTCCATGAACTCCTCAAAAATAGGCAATAAAGACGTTATGTTTGCTTTGCCATGAAGGTCAACAACAGCTACAGCAGCAGTCAACATTTCCGTGCGAACAGCCTGATTCCTATCGCCCAAGCCGGTTGAAACAAAGAATTGCACAAGTTTAAGTACTGTTTCAGCACTAAGAAGGGATGCTAATTGAGCCAATGCAAGTGCAACACCTCGTCTTGGTCCCCAAGTATCAATAGGTTGCTCAACCACACGACCAAAATCGTTTAATTTTGGTGGAATCATAGCTAATTTATCTTGATAAAGCTGTAATAATCTATCCAAAATTGTCGGCACCAAATGGGAAACATTAGATAAACATTGTGCCAAAGCACAGGCAGCAGCTTGTTGTATAGGCTCTACAGGATGTGCAACATCTTGAATGAGTTCATTAGCAAGAGAATCAGCATGCACTACTAATTCTGCTGAGTGCCATAACTCATTAGCCAGAACTTTATTTTCATCACAAACATCAAACCTGGCTACCCATATTCTCCTAATAAGGTGAAATAATTGTACAGGTTCTTCTTTTTGAGATGGGAAAGCTTGTTTTACGACTGTTAATGCTCTTAGGGCTGCATCCCTTATTGTAGATAAGGAATTTTGTAAAGCTCCAATTAAGGAATCTATATCCTCACTAGTGGCTAATGCAGTGCCTGGTTGACCACTACCAGATTGAGCAACATCTAATAAGGTTGCAACAGCATGTGTCTGTACTCTTCCAGTTGTTATTTCCATTAATTCTATTAATAAATCAAACATGTGTTTACTGGGCAATAATCGAGGATGCCTCATGTCTTTTAAGTCTAACGAATCCCCTCTTTGCTTGGCATGTTCCTGTATTATCTGTAATCCTTGAACAATCATACCATCATCTTTATAAGATAACAAGGTTTTCTTTATAAACGGAAAAATATAACAAAATGCAGGAGCAGTAAATAATTTTTTTTGTTTTATCGTAGTTGTGTGTAAAAGATTTAAGGTCCTCTTTACTGCTGTATCAAGGTTTTCTTCTTCCCAAGCTGGATCCAGATCACACTGTGGTTGTAATTGTCGTAACGTGATGTGTGATACTAAGGTACTTAACATTGGGTTACTGCCGATCTTTACTATATTTTGCAAGCAAATATATAGATCAGACATTGCAGGAGCAGCTAATGGTGACTCCAAATTCTTCAAAATTGGTGGCAAAAGATCTTTCAAATAAAAAGAAAGTTCTTGTCCATTCCCTTTAATTGAACACATAACAAGAGATACAGCATTATCTATTCTACATTTAAATTCAGTGAGTTTTTTGCGAATTGCAGTTTCTTTTGTCAATTGCGTTTTAAGAATTTCCTCTTGTTTGGGTGTTAATTTCGGTTCTTTTATTTTTCCTTCTTTCTTTCTTTGTTCGTATAATTCTCGTCTAAGTTGAAGCTCCTCCTGTTGTTCTTTGAATGAATATGCTTTACTCTCTCTTTTCATATTCATCGAGTTAAGAATATCATTCTCATCATTTGCCGGTAATACACTTTTGTCGTACAACTCACCCTCTGGAGTGAGGTACGTGAAATATTCATCTTTAGTGACTCTTAAAATCTCTGGATCATCGAGTTTACTTGTAACATTTGATACTATTGTAGGCAATATAATGTCTGGTACAATTGATACCACTTTTGTTAGAGCATTTTCATAACTGGCATTAGGTTTGAAGTTCTGTACCAGCAGTTTTTTAATTTCGGTATTAAAAGAGCATAGAAAATCTTTCGGTATAAGATTATAATTCTTTACAATTTTAAACCACAAATTTGGCATAGCTTTAAAAACTGCAGGATGATGTGATGGTATCAATGCATCCCTTGTCATTTGCATAGCAGGTAATTCAAACGAAAAAGAACCTGAACAAATAGCAAGTAATCCATCTGCAAGACACCTACCAGTTATTTCTCCAGTGGAAGAATCTTCTTTATTTTCTTTATCAGTTTCAGATTTTATTTTTACAGTCTCTACAAATTTATTATATTCCACTAATAGCTCTTGTGCAGGACTAGTTGTACTCAAACCAGTTACAATCTTTTTAACAAATGGGAAACATCGTTTCCTAATATTGGACTTTGGAGCTGTTGCACATATTGCAACTGCTTTATAAACACCATTCAAAGCCTTTTCATTTAATCTGTCAGCAAAGTCTGTAATAAGTCTTTCACAAAGTAACATAAGATAATATAAAATATCATCCCCACATGCTGATAAAAATTTCTCTGAAAAAAATATTTGATCATCAATTGCATTCCACAGTGTAGTCTGTTTATCATTTTCCACTTGATTGGCAAGGACAAATTTCAGTAGCAAATGAACCGCTACTAAACCTTCAGTTACCGCAGCTGGTTGAGTACTTTGCTGCATAGCTCTTATTACTGATTGCGTAAGTAATGGTGTTATTATTCCAGAATAACAAACTACAGGTGCAGAAAAAAGAAGTTTAATATAAGCAATGCGCACAGCAGAAGTCGAGGTCTTGGCATTCATTCCTTCCTTAAATGCATCTATTACACTTTTTGGAACATTGTTTACGAACTTGTTGGACCATAAAGCCATCATCTCAAGAGCATGAATTAAAGTTTTCTCATGAACCTCGGATTCTAAAACTTTTATGAAGTGTTTGCAAGCTGTTTCCGCCAATCTTTGAACACCACTGCCCGAAGCTGCATTGTAACTAAGATTACCGGCTCCTTGTAAAACAGAAATCTTATGAGTTGCAACAGTCAACTTTCCTTCTGATCCATGGAATACAGCAAATACAGATGTCAGTAAATTTTCCAAAGCAGTAGTATCTGAACATTGTAGAGCAAGTCTTCGACAAGCTCCAACAGCTTCATCTCTAACAAAATCTTCTTTAGAATGTAAATTTGCAAATAGTCCTTTACTTATTTCTTGACTATACTGACTTAAATCAAGACTCAGACCACTGAGAATGTGACCAACAGATTCAATAATGATCTCTGGATTTCTTAACATAGCTTTTTGTAAAGCTGGCAGTAATTGACTCTTAAATTCGTCATGATTTATTCTACGCAGAAGAGGTACAGCAGTATCAACAACATATAAATCTGGTTTTTTCTTGCAGCTAATAGTAGCTTTTATAAAACCATCTATGATGTGCAACTGCAAAAAAAGAATCAAATATTTATTATACTTATACAATGGATGCTAACATAAATTTAGTATGGAATGAATATACCTTTAGTTTTCCTACAAGTTCACTTTTCTTTGCGTTAACTAAGTATTTTGTAAGTAAACTGGCAAGAACAATTACACCATTTCCAACTTCCAATTTTGCCAGTGTTTCCACATATGATGTTTCTATATTTTTAATACTTGACCACTGATGTGCTAATAATGTATATACTTTATCTGCGAGTTTTACATCCATGGATGCCAAAGCTGCTGCACTTAAATCAGCTTGTGCCTCAATTAGCTTTGGTAATTCTGTATTAATGTCTGTATTGTTTTTATGTCCATGTAGAATGATTAATCTCGACCATTTTAATGCAAGGTATGCAGTTAAAGCAGTATTTAAACTAAAGAGAAATTTTTCGTTAAGTATTAGTTAAGCACAAATGTGTTGCGAAAGCTTACAGAATTTCAGGGTAAATATATACAGTAAAATATTCATATAAGAAACACATACGTAGGAACTACAGCCTTATGCCATGCAGCTTGTTCTACAATCACATTTGTCATATGTTTTACTGTAGCCTCAGTTTGTTTCTTCAATAATTCCACAATTAGATCTTTCACGTAAGATTGGGAAGTTGTGTCCTTATATCTGTGTAACGTGAGAGATATAGTTTTGCAAATTCCATTAACAATCTTCTCATTGATGCCTAAAATATGAAAACAATATTGCTTTACATTAACAATAAATAAAAAAAATAATAAATGAATTGATATTGCATTATATTTTAAATAACTATTCTTTAAAATTTTTACATGTCACATTTTATTACATTTATTTCTTTTATATTCAATAAAAAGAAGTACTAATTATCCATATTAAATCTATAGTAAATAATAAATATTTAATTTAAATATTATATTTTAAGTAATAAGATAATATTGTAATATATGAAAAGATGTCTTTATCATGTTTAATATTATACCAATTTCAAAGTCTAACAGTGTATATTTCAGAAACAAATGTATGATGTATAGTTCATTGTGTAATACATGATAAAGAAATAAATCACTAATGTGTGCTATGTTAAATATTACTTTATAAAACTAAAAATTGTCTATAATCGATATTCAAATTCTTAGAAATTAAAAAAATAAATGCGGTGTGGTATAAGATATAAAAACATTAAAATAATAAAATTAAAAATATGGTGATTGAATAAACAATATTGTATAATAATCTTAGTCTAATTTGAATTGTGTTATACAAATCATAAATTTTTCTTACGCATATATCTTAATGAATAATTATAGATACCGATACTACCTTTCTCACCCACGTATAAAAATTTTCAATCAAAAGATGCATAATTATTTATTAAAAATATATCAATTATCGTTTCTTACCAGGGTTTGACAACACATTGGCGACATTTTGCAGAATCTCTCGCCGCTCTGTTTTGCTAGCGGTTTGAACTCGATTTGGCAGATCTTTCAGTGCTTTCATTAACTGCAATAAAATCAGTGATTAATAATGAGTAATTATTAGACAATAATACTGTTTCTCAACTTCCACGTGACAGACTCACCTCAACATCCGCCATATTTCTTCAAAAACCGGACCGACTTAAAGCGCCACCCTTTACAAAACTATTTCAGATTTCTACGAATTGAATACATACATATGTATATATATCTAAATCATATTACATTAAATCGTACGTGGTATATATACTTGTATTTATCAATAAAATATCATGTTATAAAAGATTAATTTGACTGAAAACATCAATATACTTTTAATTTTATATGTTTAACAAAAATTGAACGTTTTTAAATTATTTTGGTACTAGGTCATAGTAAAACTATGATAGTATCACCTGTTAACTAAATATCAGTAATTTGATATAGTAATGGAAGTTTCACATTAAAATAATTTTGAATGAAATGTTTTATTAGATGAGGAAAACAACAATTTTGTGTGAAGTGGATCTAATATTTATTGTTTGTAAATCGTATTTAAATATTTAAAATATAAATAAGTCAAACATATGTACGTATAAAATATTTATTAAATATATTAACAAATAGGAAATCATTATTAAAATATGTAATTGTTATAAATTATAATTATATTTTAAATTTACAGTTAAAATTGCAAGATAATAAAGTAATGAACAATGTCAGCATTTGATCAGG